CAACAATTCTACCTATTGAACTAGGTGAGGTAGAGTGTAGAGGTAAAGTGTATTTTTATAATAAAATTAAAAGTTAGATCCCAAATATAAACACTGTGTAGTTCCTTTTTTATTCGTTATATTACGTATTTATTACTTTCGCCAATCCCAATTAGTTACTGTGAATAATCTCTAGATAAAGTGATTAATTTATCACAGTACCTACAGAGTTTAGTAATTATCCATGATATCTAGCGATTATATATCTCGCATCAACTTTTGATCGTTTGATTTAGTTTCTTTTATTTTAATTGCTAGTTACTTGATTACTTAATTACTCGATTGTAGAGAGAGCGTGATTATCGATACTTTTAATTTTATTAGAATGGTGACACTGACTTTGACAGTTCGTTAACAAAAGGCAAATTGCCGCCATTTTCGCAGACATTCTGTTTTCGATCGCCGAGGAGCAAAGATATCCGACGACATCACGCTCATCTCGTTATATTTTCGTGTGAAAAGTGATAAAATGGAACTAATCCACGTTGGTATACACGCATGCAGTGTTATTTTAAAGATAGTCTTCCGATATGGACGATCTATTTGGGCTTTGTAATAGCCCCTTCTGACTACCCGTCAACATATATATTCGTTGATTAATCATATTGGCTTTCACATGTACATTAACCAGTTTTTAAGGAATTTTCACGAAAAGTGTTAAGATATGAATATAAAATTTATTGATGCCTATGATATCTTGTATGGAAGACTGAATATTTTAAGTCTCCAGTTAAGAAGCGAATGAATATTGATTATACTTTTTAATGAGGAAGCATTAAAAAAAAAGCAAAGCATTAAAAAGCAAAGCACTAAAAAAGCACCTCCACTAGATGGCGACTAGCAAAACTAGATTTTTGCAGGAAACGTATAGACCAAAGACAGTTATTTCCGTTCCTTTTAACTAACATATAAAAAAACTAAAAATTTGAAAAGTTCGATACTTAGATATCAATACAAATACGAAAAAGTACAAATAGAATATGAGTTGTTTATTGAGTTTTGAAAACTAATTTACTTTTAAACATGAAAGAAAACCGGAAGGGTTTTCATGGAGAAATCAAGAACGTACCATAGCGACATCTAGTTTGATTTAGGGAACTATTTTTTTATACTTCATTAAAAGAATTCATAACCATAAATCCTGAATTTATAGAGGTATTACTTTGTTAGCTGACATATTATTGTTATCTATTGGACGCTGAATTCTTTTCACCTATGCCACAAACGCCCAAGAAAAGGAAACGGTGCGGTCGCATGCGACACAATAGCTTGTCCGTTCTGCACGTCATTAGCACTAATAACTCCATACTGTCAAGAATGCAACGTCCTGCGGTCTCTAAAGGAAGCGACTCTAACAATTCTATCAATAGCGAATTTTTGCGGTCTATGTGGTAAACGTTCGAACCCGCTAACAGTTGGCACATTCGCGTACAGCTTTTTGCAATTGTTTTCGATGGTTACGTTCAAAACACAATTTAACAGATCATCTAATTAGTATGTTTGAATTTTCAATATGTGCTAAAAGTAATAGCAAATGTAAGATAAAGTAAAGGTAGTTCAATTCCATTCCAGTTATAATATTGTGGACACCTACATTTTAAGGAACCATACTTACCTCCTAGGCAGATAAAGTTGTCAGTACATATTGTATTTTGTTTAAATTCCTTACTTCCTAGGAAGTAACCTTCTTTAAAGTTAAAGATGAACGAATGGGAAATTTCTATTAAAGTTGTATATTAAGGCGACTAAATATAGCAGGCACTCTCGCCGCACTTGGAAAATCGGGAATAGGTAGGACTATGCTCATTACTAGCACAGTATTAGTAGCGAACTATCCTTAGTTCCCCTTGTTGAAATGGAATAACAAAGTATAACTGTAAGATACGAATTTTGAAGATTATTATTACAATATAATGTAATAAGGCACTATAAAATCTGTGAATGATAACTACGGTTTTTTATCCTATAAACTATTTTTATAAGATGAATAACCGTGAAACTATGATAACTTCCACATCCAATCAGCATTATACTGATTTGAATGTGAATATTCACATGTACAAATATGTACATAGTTTCATGGTAAAAGCAATGGAATTCCGCAAAATAACGCCTGTTTCTAAAAAATCAAATAATGTAAAAGCGCTTGGAGTATGCCGATGCATTAGAAAATAGCTAAGTACATAGGTAAAATAACTTTTAAATTGTCTTATCGCGTCCATATTTTGAAAGAATAATATGTTACTTGTTCGTGGGATTCTGTCTTTCCGCCAAAAATTATTTGGCCGTATATTTGGTAAGTTATAATCAGCCAAACAATTTTGACGAAAAGGCAGAATACCCTTATTCCAACTTTTTGGATCACTTGCAAGTTTCAGGTGGATGAGATGTTGGTCGTTTTAATTTTTGTTTAAAAAATATATTTGTACACAACAAATTAATATCTATATATTAATTTAAAATAATAATATCTATATATTAATTTTAAAAGTTATTTTCTGAAATACAATTAAATTTACTTAGAACAGAATTGTGAAAGTAAACTACAATTATGTTTCTAAATTGAAATTAACCATTCAAATTATTATTTTTTATTCCAAAAAAAATATATATATGATCAGTACCTACGTTTTACACCTGTAAACGCCATCTAGTGTGTGACTTTGGATATTATTGTTTATCTTTTGCGCAATAGATGGCACGTTAAAGAAACTTTAAGGCGGAAGTATTTAAAAAAATAACGAAAGCGCTAAAAAAGCACCTTCACTAGATGGCGACTCTAGCAAAAGTTGATTTTTGCAGGTAACGAATGGACGAGTTCGGCCCCATATGGAGTACTGTTTTCATCTTTGGGCAGGGGTACCCCAATACCAGCTACTCCCTCTAGACCGCATTCAGCGGAGAGCGACTCGAATCGTCGATTGCCGGGACACTTCAAGTCGGCTTGATCCACTGGCCCTGCGTAGAGATGTTGCTTCACTGTGCATCTTCTATCGCATCTATTACGGGGAATGCTCCGAGGAATTGTTCGGACTCATACCTGCCGCTACCTTCCGCCATCGTTTCACGCGACAAGAAATCATCATTTGAATGGTTGGAAGTCCCCAATTGTGCGTTTTTCTAGAAGTTTCCTGCCTCGAACAGTCAAACTCAGGAACACTTTGTTGCCAGCGGTATTTCCGGACCGATATGACCTTCAAACTTTCAAGCGTAGAGCATATTCGTCCCTCAAAGGCCGGCAGCGCGCTTGTAGCCCCTCTGGTATTGCAGGTGTCTATGGGCGACGGTAATCACTTACCATCAAGTGATCCGTCTGTTCGTCAGCCCCATATCCCAAAAAAAAACGAAAGACAATAATTTCTGTTCCTTTTAACTAACATATTGAAAAACTGAAATTTTAAATGTTCGAAACTTAGATACCAATACAAATACGAAAAATTGAGTTTTGAATCGTTTATTGAGTTTTGAAAACTAATTTACTTTTAAACATGAAAGAAAACCAGAAGGGTTGTCTTGGCGAAATCAAGTACGTACGTAGCGACATCTAGTTTGATTTCGGGAACTAATGTTTTATTTTTAAATACTTCCTCATTCAATTTGAAAGTAGCAGTTCCTAATTACTAGATATATACGTATATTTTATTATTCTGAGGGTACTTAAATATAACACCATATTTATTGTCTTGTTGTTGTCAAAATTAAACCCCAACAATATATTGTAGACATTTCGATTATTGAACGAAAAGTAGCGGAAGTGTCATTGTGAGCAGTAGTAATGCTAACATATCGATAAGTATTGAATAGATATTAATTGAGCATCGATGTCGAATAACAAATAAATCGTCAATTTTAGTAATAGAACTGCCAAGTCTATTAATTAAATAAGTTTTGATTGTATTTTAATTGTAAACGACTGTTTGTTTTTCTAAATAAATAAAACAAAATATAAAATGTATCAAATTTAAAAATTATCCCAACATATTAATTTAATTACACATAAAAACTGTTTATTTCATTACATTTGGTATCTAAAAATAATATAAACTTATGTTTACGATAATGTTAAAACAGATATTCAGTCATATCCCAATCTACAAAATCCTTAATTCAATGTTTTTTTTACACGTATATCATTTTAAACTGTAAACTTTAAACTTTTTATGTAGCTTGTTAAACAAATTAACTGATTAATCTTCCAAATGACAATATATGTAAATTGTAGTAATGACCTTATCTTGTCTCCTTTCAAATAGCTTCAAAAGGTACGCATATGCATCTATGTACTTTAAGATCCGAATTTATAACGTAGAGTTTCCTGTTAAAAAGAATATTAAAACTACCATAAAGATTGTTGGCTGGAAATCTGTATGATTTAAAAATATATCTTTCTCGTCGTCTTCAGTAGACATCTCTGAGCCTTCTCTACTTTAAGATTCTTACACTTACTTAGTAGCACCAACCTAAACTGGAATGCAATAACTTATTACAGACTGCGCTAATTACAGTAAAGTGCAACGTATATTCGTGATAGGAGATTTTATAGTGGTCACGTGTCGTAGTTTTTTTAAAGATCCAAACCAATATTCTAATCCTATTGTTCATATATTATATTTGCCAGTAGATACCAGGACAGTTGTTGGTTGATAACTACTTTAATATAATTTGCAGAAATAATTCGTGTTATCTTAGCACAATGACAATTTAAGTTACCTTTATGAATGCATAAGGGAAACTTAAGTTTAAAATCGGACATTATTCAATGCAAGACATTGGAAAATAAGTATTACAGAACTATAACTTAAATACTTTCTCATTAGCACTGTCACGTGTATGTCAATACTAAACTCATGTAAAAAATAAAGAATTAAATACTTGAAATAAAAAATGGTTATCGATACAATATCAATTATGAGAAATATCGATATTTTTTTTGATATCAATATTTTTCCCAAGCTTACTATACTGTCACTGTGACATTTCATCCTATAAAAATTATAACCCCTAATAAAAACAATATGAAATAAAATTCTTATTTATTAGTGAAAACGAAATAATAAATATTGTAATTTACAATCTTTAACACATCGTTTTTATTATGTCTCTCACAAGGATTTTGTGGCACCGTCCTATATGCAACGCAGATACATTTTATAAAGTAGTTCGCAAGTGGTATTCTCAAAATAATGTAAACTTAACAGATCCTGCAGTACAAACTTATTTGAGACGCATGATGTTAGAACATGAAGAACTACTCATGACGACCCGAAGAACTTCTGAAGAGGCTAGACGACTATTCGAAATAAAACCCATTGTTAGTGTTCTCGAACAGAGAATTGGCTTATACGATAGTATTGAATCGCTTAAAGAACTAAATAAAAAGGAGAATAAGGATCCCGAAGTGAAGGCAATGATAAAAGAAGAAGCCGAAGTATATCTTAAACGCCTGAAGGAAATAGATGGAGAATTGATGGCAATATTATTAGCGCCATGTCTTACAGAAGGCGGTGTCTTATTGGAAGTAGCCGCTGGTGCAGGTGGACAAGAAGCCATGTTGTTTGCACGCGAACTCTTTGATATGTATGAATCTTATGCAAATTACAAAGAATGGCAAGTAGACATTGCTTCTATGGAGATTTCCGATATAGGTGGTGTCCGAAAAGCGTCAATGCTCATAGAAGGTTTTGGTGTTCCTGAACTTATGAGAATAGAAGCAGGAGTGCACAGAGTACAACGTATTCCAGCTACAGAAAAAGGTGGACGCATACATACTAGTACAGTATCAGTCGCAGTTCTTCCTCAACCCACTGAAATAGAACTGAATATTCCAGAACGAGATATAACTATAGAGACAAAACGAGCCAGTGGTGCAGGTGGCCAACACGTTAACACAACAGATAGTGCTGTTCGTATTGTGCATGTACCTACTGGTACTGTGGTAGAATGCCAACAAGGCAGATCACAAATAAAAAATAAAGAGATTGCCATCCAAAAATTAAGAACGCTTCTACTCCAGAAACAATATGAGGAACAATCGTCAAAAATTAAAAGTGAAAGAAAATCACAGGTTTGTAAAATTAATTTGTTTTATGATACACAATTCTAAAGTTTATCATAGCTTTCTTATAAAGTTGGTGTCAATCCCAATACTTTTTCTAATTTTTAACACAAAACAAACCTTTTCTTATTTGCAAACAGCTTTAATATAAATACATTCTATTTATTATTTTAAAAGCTGTTGTCATAGTCTTATGTGATGATTATAAAGATTTGTATGAGAGGGATAACCTTTTAGCGATTGCCATTTTAAGTAGTAGTAAAAAAATACCATTTGAAAAAATTCTTACAATACATTATTTTACATCTGTGTAGAAGAGCAAATAATATTTTTAAACTTTTAATGTAAATAAATTAGTTTTATCATATAGAAATTTAATAGTTTATTTTAACAATTTCAGGTTGGATCTGGTAACAGGAATGAGAAGATTAGAACATACAATTTTCCTCAAGATCGGGTAACAGAACATAGAGAAGGTGGTGGTACGCTCCACAACCTCGCGGGTTTCATGCAAGGACAGGAACAGCTGGAACAGCTCCAGGAGAGTCTCTTAAGACAGCAAAGATACCAGACACTCATGGAAGAGATTCAAGAATTCACCAAAAGATATCAAGCAGACACCAGTAACAAAAGTTAAGTGTCCCCCTGTATCAGATATTTATATATAATTTGTTAATAATTATGATTTCTGAAACCAGAAACCTGAAAATTTTTAGTCATTAATAAAATAATGTAGTAATTTTTTTTAATAAGTATTTATTTTGTACCAAATAAATTAATCACATTTCAATAGAAAGTAAATACATATATCCACATCTATATTTTACAACATAAATAGACAGAGATTCAGAATATTAAAGTCTAAAGTTTTTATTTCAATAAACATTAAATCTTTACCTTTTAAATTTTTTTTTGTTATTTTCTAAAATATGTAACTCGTATTGTTTTAAACACAGGGTATGTATTACCCAAAATAATCACAAAAATTAGAGGACGGCATCTACAGAATTATAAATCTAAGCAAATTATTAAATTATATAAATTTGATAATTAATGGAAAATTTTGCAAACCTTCATTTAGACACATCAATGCAAAAAGCCAATTCCTTTACAAAAGCTATTCTATAAATTTATAACTAATAATGTATATATCGCACGCTGAGAACGAAAGTGACCCAATCCAAAATTTTGGGAAATTGAGTTTTATACATAAACAGACCTTAAGAGACATGCTCTACAACCTACAAATTCAAAAACTACCTTATTCCCGCTGCTTAAGCTTCATTTTTTATTTGCGTCTCTTTCATTTCTGCGCCCCGCGCAACCCCTGTCAGTATAAAAGTGACGCAATCAGTGATTCGCCGGGAGTGCTAACGGGTGGACGTGCGTCGTGTTAATATTTTAGTGACCCAATGCGCATTGGGTCACTTTAGGACTCAAACTGAGGTAAGACCTTTATAGTAGCTGTTACTATTAAAGTGACCTTTTTTTGAATTGAGTCGGTTTACGATTAGAATCTTTTTATTTTACGTGTCTTAAAAGCTAATAAGGCAGTCCTTGATTAACCCATAGCTGGAGTTTTTAGTTGAATTATGTGTTAGGCCTGTACTTGATTGATGAATTGTATTTTGTTTTGACGTATTTATGTGTGGGTCTTTTCATTAATAATTTAAGTACACAATTGATTGACCATTTCATTAATAAGTTTTTTCTTACTTTTAGTGACAGAAAAATATTTACAAGTCCAAAATGAAACGAAGAGCGGATCTGATTTTAAAGATGTTAGAGCACAAAAAAGAGGAAGAGGTAACACATTTTGTATGATTCATCTTATACACGGTCAATTTACTACGTAATGGTGTATCTTACGAGCCAACTGTAGTGGCTGCCTAAATTTTGTGCATGTTTTCCATAACTTACCGTATCAAATAGGTATCATTTTATAGTTTTTACTCTGTATAATCCCTACTGTGTATGTAGTCGAAATTCTAATTCATTTCGTGATTTCAGGAAATTATTAGCTATAACAAAGAGAATATTTCTTCTAAGGTGAATGTTGCAGATAATGATGGAAATACAATTGAATCACTAAAACGAAATAGACCTAATAGTGATAAACGAGAGGTAAATGCAAATTTAACTGATTTAAAATCAATTAATGAATCAAGGAATTACACGCTAAGATGAAGATTACAGTTCAATTAACTATAAAAATCTATAAATTTTTATAGGTACTTGAACTTACCTAAATAATAATAAGAAGTGTACAGACAACAGCACGTTGGGTTACTACAAACTGTCAAAATTCCTTAATAGATATTGAGCTTTATGAGATAGACAACAAGGTGAGATCAATCAAAAAAATTCACAGTTTGTGATCACCCAACGTGCTGTTGTCTGTACATAAATAAATTCAATTACATTCCGGTAAATTCTTCATTAACAATCTTGTTTTATTTTCAGCTGACCTGCAATGCTATAGATGTAGAAAAAAATACTGAAAATGATACCTTCGAAGATGAAACACTTGCCAAGAATTTTAGGACCCGGAATTCATCGACGTCTTCAAGCTCTTCCTCTTCAAGCTCTTCCTCTTCAAGCTCTTCGTCTTCAAGCTCGTCACCTTCAACCACAAAGTTAAGTTCATCTAACTCGTCGACTTCTATAGATCGTTCTGATAAGAAGCAACATGCCGCTCCTCCATTAAGTCCAAACCCGAGTACCAGCAAGGAACATGCTCCCCGTTGTTCGTCAAGCCCAAAGCCGAGTACTAGCAAGGAACATGCTCCCCGTTGTTCGTCAAGCCCAAAGCCGAGTAACAGCAAGGAACATGCTCCCCGTTGTTCGTCGAGCCCAAAGCCGAATAACAGCAAGGAACATGCTCCCCGTTGTTCGTCGAGCCCAAAGCCGAGTAACAGCAAGGAACATGCTCCCCGTTGTTCGTCGAGCCCAAAGCCGAGTACCAGCAAGGAACATGCTCCCCGTTGTTCGTCGAGCCCAAAGCCGAGTAACAGCAAGGAACATGCTCCCCGTTGTTCGTCGAGCCCAAAGCCGAGTAACAGCAAGGAACATGCTCCCCGTTGTTCGTCGAGCCCAAAGCCGAGTAACAGCAAGGAACATGCTCCCCGTTGTTCGTCGAGCCCAAAGCCGAGTAACAGCAAGGAACATGCTCCCTGTTATCCGTCGAGCCCAACGCCTTGTACCAGCAAGAAACATGCTTCCCGTTGCTCACCGAGCCTATTAGGGCCGAACTATCAAATATCACCTATTCACACTGATGAAAGTGATGTAGACCTCAGCGACTCTGATCCTACGTTTAGGTTAGATAGCAATAAAGGTGAGGATGCTTCATCATCTGAATCTGTTTCCCATTCTTCTGCCACTGAAAGTAATGGCAAAAAGAAAAAAACTAGAAAACGCTTGAGAAATCCCTCTAAGTGGATACAGAATGAAGTTAAACGATTGAGAAATGCGGGAAAAGCCTATCAATCCCTTTCAAAAACAAAAAAAAAATATTTCGGAGCGTAGTATGAAAGAGGGGTGTAATTGCAAACAGAAATGTAGTGAAAAAATAATGGATAGTGAACGATTGTATTTATTTAATAGTTTTTGGAAACTGAATGATTTGGAATTACAGCGTGCGTATATTCGCACTTGTATGATTCAAATAAACCCTAGATACAAATATACTAACGCAGAAAAGCCAAGGTTGCCTAATAACGCCTTGTACTTTACTTTAGATTCGAAGAAAATACGAGTTTGTAAGAAATTTTTCTTAAATACATTAGATATCAGTGACAGACAATTGAGAACTGTAAAGAGCAAAACAAACAATGAAGGCTTTTTAGAACGAGACCAAAGAGGAAAACATAATAATAGAAAACGTGTAAATCCGACATTACTACAGAACATAAGGGACCACATTAACAACATACCTAAAATAGAATCTCATTACCTAAGAGCTACAACGGATGCTAAAGAATACATTTCAGATAGCAAAACAATACAGGACTTATGCAAAGATTTTAATGAAAAACAAAAAGAAAACAATAGACCAGAATGTGATTATTGGTTATACTTAAATACTTTTAACAAAGAGTTTAATATAGGCTTTTTTCAACCTAAGAAAGATAGATGTGACGTTTGTTTGGCGTATGAACTTGCACACGAGACAACAAAACTTGATTTAAAATCTGCTTATGAGAATCATCTTGAAGAGAAGAATTTATGCCGTCAAGAGAAAAAAAGAGATAGAGCAAATATTGACGACAGTAACATCTGTGCAGTATTTGATTTACAATCAGTGATGCTATGTCCTAGTCCTTCGTATTTTTATTACTGTTCGAAGATAAATTGTTTAGATTTTACCATCACTGAGTTAAATCCGACACAACAAGAAAATATTAAAGCCTATGAAAATGTGTTTTGTTATTTCTGGGATGAAACTCAAGGCAACAGAGGAGCAAATGAAATTGGTTCATGTCTATTTGAATACTTAAATACATTGAGCTCTAAACACCCAGATAAGAGCCTGAACATTATTTTTTATTCAGACAATTGTACGGGGCAAAATAAGAATAAAGTTATTGCCAGCCTTTATTCATTTGCAGTGATGCACTTTAAAAATATACAATCCATAACCCACAAGTATCTAATCAAAGGGCATACGCATAATGAAGCCGACAACGTGCACAGTTTGATAGAAAAAGAAATTAAAAAGAATGAAAAAGGTGGTCCTATTTACACCCCTTATCAATATGTCACAATTATCAAAAGCGCGCGGAAATCCGGAACACCCTTCACCGTTAAGGAAATGGACTACAATTGTTTCTATAACTTGAAACTATTGCAAGAACAGTGGGCGTATAACTTTAGTGAGGATACAGAAAGGAAAAAACTCATATGGAATGATGTTAAAGTCCTGCAATTTTGTAAAGAACGACCTTATTCATTCAACTACAAAACATCATATTCCCAAACTGCCTTCCAAACACTCAATATGCGAAACAAACGGAAGAAAATGGTAAGCGATGAATTAATCAGTCTTGAAAAATTATACGAGCAACCTATCGCATTAAAAGAAAATAAAAAAAGAGATCTCAAGAATCTCGTTAAAAAAAATCAGATTCCGCACTACTATGCAACTTTTTACGATTCATTGTAAATTGTGTGGTGAACTGACTAGTGGTAACTTACGGTATTCCGAGTTCCGTAGGTTTCTTTTTGTAATTTAAGTAACAGAGTTTAGTCTAGAGACAATTTATATATTTGATTAAAATAATAATATTTTTCTATAACTTCATAAGAACAATGTTACCTACCTATTAAGACTGATTACACGGGTAAGGCTGATAGTATTATGTACTTACCTACCTAAGACTGTAGATTGATAGTGCTATAATTAATAAATGATTCCAAAGCAAAATTTTGATTATAATTTTTGTTAAACTTTAATATTTTTATTTGATGTTCTTAAGTTTAATATCTTTCATAATTACTCTACATAGAAATAACTCTAATTTTGTTATACTCGTAACAACATGGTTGTTATTACTTATGTTTAAGATACTTTATTTTTGAAAGTTTATAATTGACACTTATAATTGTGCATTTATTAAAGTATTTTTGATAAACATGAATACAGTTTTTTATTAGTCCATAAGATTATAATACAGATTAAGAATGAAAGTGATCTAATTATTGTTAGGTTATTGAATATTTATAATTACCAGATTAAAACAGACATAAACCCTAATAAGCACCTTTTTATTTTTTGTTTTCAGTACTAAAGTGACCTATTTTCGGAAGTTTTTTTTTATTACACCATAAACGCACTAATTATTTTCATTATTACAAAAAACAATATTAAATTCGAAACTAAATAGTACAAAGATTAATTAGAATCATTAAGTTTGAAATTACCATTAAAATTAGCATGTCTTTAAGAGTCACAAAAAAAATTATTGTAACTTGCTGACTTTATTTCTTCGTTTGCCAAAAATAACGAATTTTGGATTGAGTCACTTACGTTCTCAGCGTGCGATATGTCACTGGAATATAACAAAAACTGCAAATTGATAACTTTTCTAGGAAATATTATAGATTCTAAACAAGAGATAAATTGTATTATTTTATGCTCACATATCCTACAAAGTTTATAAACTTCCTAGGAAATTTATCAATTTGCAGTTCTTGTTATTTTCCGGTGACATATATATTGATCATCATTACATTCTCAACCATTTAAAGAAATGTAATTTTCTTTAAAAGGTCAGTAGCATTATTTGACATAATATTCAATCTTAAAATTTAATGTATGATATGAACAATGAAAATAATGCCTTCTATTTCTGGCACTTTGAGAACATTATATAGAAGTATATATTTTAGTAAAAAGTAAATAAATTTTAAAAATAAATATACTCTTCATGATATGTAAAAATGACATGTAAATTACTATAATACTTTAAAAGAATAACAAGCTCGCTTACCCAACACTATTTTTAAATTAATAAAGAAAAAACATGGAATTTAATTGTAATTAAACTAATTAGCATTCCTTGAAGAGGTATAAACTGGAACAAATTTTATGTTATTTTATATATCTTCATCAATCCCATTTTTAGTTCATATACAAGTTTCATGAAGTTTTGTCAACATATTTACCATCAATTGTAGATGTACATAAACAATAATAGACTATAACATTTCTATAGAGATATGAATTGGTTGATAATAATTTGATAAAATTAAAATTTATAACACTTAAAAATAGTTGCCAAAGGTTATCGTAAGTAAAATAATACGGAGAGAAGACTCGGCAGCATCCAGATCACACTGTTGTGTGGCAAGCTGCCACGTCCACACATATCGATGTTACTCTCCTGAAATAGCAAAAAACTAATTAAATTATGTGTTTTATTAACGCCATGAGCAGTGGTATATATTGAGGAAGGATTATGTTGCCTTTTTCTTATATGAAAGGAGTAAGCAAAAACTTAGCAAAATATATATAATAGTTTTGCACTTATAACGTAATATAAGTTATGTACTGTAAACATGCTTTTATTTGAGTAAATTAACAATTACTTTGATTTTTCTGATAAATTTTATTTATCTATGTAAAGATAACAAACGTAATAAAAAATGGAGTAGTATTCTTATTTGATGATTTCTAATCAAAATCATAAAATAACAATATTACTGCCATCTACTGACAATCAAATGAAATCAAGTGAAGAAGTAAACAAATAGCAGCAATGTCCGATTTAGGTAATTGACAAATTGGGGCCTTATAATTTTGATAAAACAATTGTGGACCGTCAAATTAATAAATAATTATTTACAAATAGATCTACAACAGTGGTTGGTAAAATATATATTTGATAGAAAGATGATTACTTTTTATCTTTAGATGCCAACTCATTTTTCAATCAATCCAAACGTCAACACAATTTACTGATAAACTTTCCTATTTAAATTATTTTAACAAAGAAACTAATCTGACGTTACCATCAACTTAACTAGCAGCATATGCATAAGCCAATACTCTCGTAACGAGCATACTCACTTCAGTGTGATTCCTGATGCAAGAAGTTGGCTGCTTCCTATATAACGGATGCATATGCTTCAGACAAGGCAGCGACTCATTGTACTGCACCTCAGTAGGATCCACGGGTAATATCGAAACCTCCTCTTTAGGACAAACTGAGTCTATCACTATCATCAACATATTCGTATAGTTCACCAGTTGAACGTAAAACGGCCTGTCGCAATCCGCTATTGGCTTATTCAATTTGTCGTTTAAATTGTTATAATCCAATTGATAGAGGTACATCTCCCTGTCGCAGGGCGTTGGCCTCGTCCTGTTTATAAGGACTAGTTTTTCGATATCCCTCTCTGTGACACTCTTTGACGTCGACTTCAGCAGCGGGTCGTCGGTTTCTTCGTCATTCTCGTAAATCTGATACGCTGTTACACATTAAACAGTCTTAGTTCATCAATTTAAGCGTTGTATGAGCATAATAAAAAATAAATATCGGCAAAATATAATTAAGAGCTAATCTGGTTATATCATGCAAAGTAAATATATGTAATAAATAAATCCTTAAATATGTAAGCTTATTATGTTTTTTCTAATCTTTAACAGACGAAAAGAGAAAGGTATCATAACAGAGTGACTTAATCATTGATTTTTTATGATAATTTTCAAAGGAGACAGCCCTAAAAATAGGGAATGATTTTTCTTCTCTCTTGTCGTCGATTTGATTTATTGTTACAAAGTTATTATTAAAGCGTAAATCGGAATACAATCTTGAATCGAATTATACATTGTCATTATCGCCATTTTTCAAATTAATGTGTGCTGATATTGTCATCATTATTCAAAAGATGTTATGTATTAAAACATAAACAGTCAGTTGCACAATCGTCAATTAAAATTTTCATTATCTTAAAGTAACATTACCCATACAAATTTGACATTCATTAGAGCTTAAAGGCGTCATTAAACCTTAATGGACGTTTGTGCAACTGGCAGTATATCAGGTATATATTTTGATTGTGACCATGAAAATGAACAAATCGAATTTCTTTTTAGGATTTTATTTACATGCAAACCTATTGAGTTATTTAAACGAGTTTCGTTTAGTAGGTTCTTAAGATGAAAATTGTATGTGAATGGAATCCGTATCGAGTGATATTTTGTATTGATATTTATAAAGCGCCACCTACTACTATAAAAGGAACTAAGATTTCCAATATAAAATTAACAATAGGGATGATGACTGGGTAAAAAAAATGCAATTCTATTTAGTCCGTCAGTCAGATAATAGAAAAATATTAGATACGTATTTTTCTTTTACTTCAATTTAACAAGAAATAGCTTAGATAACAGGCATTAAAGTTGAGGAGTGGGGGCTCGCTACGTCACAGTTGAGTAGAAAACGTACCCTAACGTGACGTCATGCGAAATTTCAACTCCATGTAACGCCGTAATTTTATGATTACGAAAAAAATAAAAAAATACGTGTTTAATATTTTTTTACACTCTACCTGACGGACAATCAAACAAAAATTAGTCATCATACTTATTGTGCTCGATGCGAACTCATTCAAACACGATTATTTTTGTTGTGAGGGTAATGATTACTATATTTATAAACTAATATATAACTAGGAAAATTATTTATAAAACTAAGCTTTCATAAAAGTAACTTTGTATAAGTAAAATACCATTATAACCCATATAATATCTGGTACTAGATAACATGCACACCTTCACTATCTAACACTAACACATTTCAGATATCAAAAGTATTCTCATAATATAAACCACGAAGCTACAGTGTTCGATCTATAACTTACCAGTGGGTGTAACATACTCTGAAAACAAGATGGAGTCGTTACTACTTTTGTAATATAACATCTACGTCCAATTTAGACTCCATTGTTGAATTTTGCCTTAACTAGCTAATGCCAATGTCAGTGCTGTTTATGTCAAGTGGTCAAACGCATGCTTTTGATGTGTTTGGAGGTATTAAAGTATTAAAACCTTCGCGGTTGTTTTTTGCATAGATTCGATGTTGCACATTAAATACTAAACATACAAGCTCGTTTATCAATATTGATAACTTTCCACGCAATGTTTGTCTTATACCCGTTGTCATGCAATTTATACAGTACATGCTGACAACGTAGAAGAGCAAAATTTAATGCTCATTATTTCACAAATACTTATAGTTTTCTCTAAAGCTATACAACAATTTTTACTTATTACAACATTGATTGGTTTAACGATTTAAACGGCTATTTAACGAGTCTTGGGTTTTTATCTTACCATCGTCCAGTGAGTAACTCGAGGCTTGCGCTAACCCGCTGGCTATGGAGTTAAAGAACCAAATTGATGTCGCTATAAACCATGACATCACCAATCGCAGATTTTCGAATGGCTGAAACATATAATATGGTGTTAAGACCATTTTGTTCTGTTGTACATTTTTTATTAGGTTGTTAATCAAAAGTTATGATATTTGCCAAATTTAACACAGTGGCACACTAACCCCTTCTGGGGCCCGAGGCTGCATCAGGCCAAGACTCACACTTTTTTTCCTATCGGAGCAGAAACTTAATATTGCGGTTTACACTCCAAGGCAGCACAACCCTCATTTATAGTTTGATCAAGGAAACATGCAGCCATTTGAAGGCCCCTTAGAATCAGAGGCCCGGGGTGGACCACCTCCTCCCTCCCCCCGTTAGTCCGCAACTGCTTTCACATACAGTTAGTACCTACATAGTATCTGTGCACCAAATGCCCGAAAATAAAGACTTAAGTCTCAAAATTTATTTAACAACCGCACACGGCTTAGCTTAGCTGCAGTGCGACAATCGGGCAACTTGAACGCCTACATGTAGATATGTAAAAGCCAATACGCTTTAGGTATTTTGCTCTTCCACAAAATAACCTCAGGATACGTTAGACAGCCGTGACTGTCTTCGACTCTCAAGCTACACGGACCAGGTTAAAGAAACTGGTCAAAGCATACCAAGTAAACCTCTCACAGCACACCGTATTCCCTAGCATCTCAACGAGTCTCGGTAGTTGCTAAAAAATCTCGGGGAAGGAGATGTTAGATCTTACTTTACCACTCGATAGATGACAATGTACAGACTACCATATTTTCCTGAAAGGGGTCTTATTATACACTGGACCGCAAAGAAAACGGGTCGGTTAGAAAATCGTCAATATCTTGAAAACTACTTAACTTATTTTTATGAAATAAAAACTAAATTAAAGATTATTTAATTGTAATTTATTGAATATAAAAAAATACAAATTAAAAGTTGTCTATTTTCAATAAATGTCAAACGAATGAAAAAGGTAGTTTTTCTGACATTTTCGTAAATATGAATTGTATAAAGATGTGACGTTTTTACGCATGTTAGTATTTCGTGTTGCCTCCACGAGCTTGCAAAACTGCGGCTATGCGATTCGGCATACCTTCCACAAGGTTTTTAAGGCGATGCTGCGGAATGTTCTGCCATTCCTCGATCAAAGCTCCTTTCAATTCACGCAGCGTGATTGGCGGCGGATTCCGTTGACGTACACGTCGTCCCAGTTCGTCCCATGCATGTTCGATGGGGTTTAAGTCGGGGCTTCGTGCTGGCCACTCCATGCATGTGATACCTACTTCGTGAAAATAGTCGAACACTATCTGAGCTGTATGCGGGCGGGCGTTGTCTTGCATAAAAACAGCATTTTCGCCCATATCTACTAAAAATGGACCAACATAGTCATTAAGAATTTCATTCACATATCGTTCTGCTGTTAAACTGCCATTTTCTATCACTACTAGCTCAGTACGGCTTTCGGAAGAAATCCCAGCCCACACGTGTATAGAGCCACCGCCATATGGTACTTTTTCTTCTATACAAGCTTGGTTATAGCGCTCTCCCGGTCTTCGGTACACTCTTTTCCTCCCATCGTGCTTGTATAAACAGAATCTAGACTCGTCTGAAAACATAACTCTTGACCAGTCATCCAGAGTCCAAGTTTCGTGTTCTCTGCTATAACTCAGCCTTGAGTTTAAGTGGTGTCTTTCTAATTTTGGGCCATTTGCAGGCCTTAATGGTCTCAAATTTGCTTCAGCCAGACGTCGCCTTACTGTATCTGTACTCAGATAGTTTCCTCCAGCTCGTAAATGGTGATTTTTTACCTCAACGGCCGTAAGAAATCGATTTCTCAAAATTGTTGACACCATATAGCGATCCTCCCGCGCAGTCGTGCACCTCGTTCGGCCTGTTCCTGGTCTTCTTAGGTTGGATCCAGTTTCATGGAAACGCTGGAGTACCCGCTGAACTGTGGAAAGACTCACACCAACAGTTCTCGCTGTATTGCGCTGACTGCGCCCATCTTCAAGCATTGTCAGGATCCTGGTGCATTCTTCAGGGGTTAACGACATGATGACTTCAGAATACAATTTTTGTATGACAAACACACGATATTTATTGTAGTTTTTATGTCAAAACTAAAACAAATGCGAAACAAATGCTTTGATTTTTTTAGAACTAAATTGAAAAACAACCATTATCTTCATTGCCAGTTTTCTTACACAATTATCTAAAGTAAATAAAAAGGTTTTATATACTATGTTAAATAACATTAAATATTCTTTAATTGAGTTTTTATTTCATAAAGCTAGGTGAGGTAGTTTTCAAGTTATTGAAGATTTTCTAACCGACCCGTTTTCTTTGCGGTCCAGTGTATTTATATCTGTTTTTCTGTTACCGTTAGTAGTATTGTTGCGGGGCTTGTGGTTTTCTTCTCTCGGAAACAGACCGCTTGATAATCCACTAGGTGTACTGGCTTATAAATTTCTTCCTCAATCAACCTCGCCATTATGTCAGGCCGTACCTTAAAAAAATTATAAATCAAAGTTACTATTCAGTTTTGAGATAATCCCTAAAAGGCAGAAGGTGGTGAATGTATTTATTACTTCATTGTATCAGAATTTGATTGTTTATCATCTTTCAGACTCGTTTGGTACTCGTCAGAGTCATTACCTACAAAAATAATGATTTTTCCTTAGTGTCCCTCCCACTCCCTCTTCCACCCCTCCCACTGCTTTTCGTCAGTTAAAATTATAGTACTTACTTTTCCAAAGAATTGTCCAGTATGCGTTGAATCTTCACTGACTATGATCCATCCGTTGTTATCTACTAAAAAGCAATCCCAACCCTCGGATATACAGGTTGCACATTTAACGTTGTGTTCACACTGCGAATTATCAGAAACAATTACATGATATTCTAATAACATATACCTTCATATTTCGTGATATTATAAATATGAAAGTATCTCTGTTTCATTTATTGCGTTACTTTCATATTTACACGGTCAAACCACTAGTTGGAGATCTCAAGAAATAAATATTTAAGGGTAAAAAATTCTTAAATGTTCTGTAGTAGAAAATCCACTGGACAGACAGACATAAGTTACGATGACAGTGTCCCATATACGTCGTAGAAATTCTAACTCGTTCTATAAATGTGTCTAAATCTCTTTAAATCTGTTGATACCTAAATATTGCCACAATATTTTCCAGAAGTACCTTAAGTTGTTAGTATACAACAAACCCTTGGCTATGTGTGAAATCTTAGAGTTCCTGTAATTAAAATTACAATATAAAATAATAATTTACTTACCGAAGAAGTAATATTTTCAAACCACTCGCTAAGTCTCTCGTGTTTGAACTGGAATCCAACAACAGCCGCAGGCGCTTTTTTATGTCCATCCGTATGGAATACAGCGTGCGATGCTGTCACCATGGCGGCACTAACGTTGAGGGGAAACTTATCAGTGTTCAGATCAGCGCTGTACACGTAGCTGAGGGGGTCTATATAGTGTTGTTCTACTGCACGTCTGTACCACACCTCGTCTATAGAACGCGGCCATTGCTTGCCGAATTCTTGCCTGTAAATTATTGCACATTTTTCACAAATATTTTTATATGATAATCTATACCTTTATATACTTAACTATTATAAATACCCCAATAGCAGTTTAAACGCCGGAACTTTTAGCGCGCTTGTCGTGAAGTCAAAGTACGCGAGTAGAGATAACATATTAAATTTTGAGTGATTGATTATGATTCTTATACTGAAATAGATTAAAAAATAATCGTTTTGTAAAAAAAATCGTAGTGTATGTACGGAATTGGTGAAATAAAAATAAAAACCTAAAACATAATTTAAATTATAATTAGTTGTTTATTTTGCGACACAGTACATTGATATTATTGCATCGATATTAACTTTTTGTGACAACAATCTCTATACGCGTTGATTTAGCCTTTGAGTATTTTTTCATTTACCGCGTTTTTGGACTTGATAATAATAAATACAATTTGCTATACGATTCTTATACGGACAACGATGATTCAAAAGAAGCTCGACAGGTATAAAAAAATAAAAATCGCGGCACAATCACCACCACAGAGAGATTATAATTAAAACAAACCAAAAGCTCACTTAAAACTCTGTAGTGCGTAACTCTGCAGTGTAGTGAAATTAAAACTGTATGATGTATCGGCAAATTAATAACGCAGATTCCAATATACCGCAATTTTTTCAATAATCATTTTGTCTGTCGAAAACATAGCCCTAAATGTGAGTAAACTCTTACACATCGTCATTTTGTTCTTTCGGAGGGTGGGTCTGCCATCTTGTGAGGCCGCTGTGTGTCGACAGGAATGCGACGATGTAACCGAATCTCTGGATGAATTCAGCTCTGAAATTAAAGATATAGAAATTAATTAACATTGTAACCATTGTCCTAGTTTTAGGAAAATATCCCAAAATAGTCACTGAATTTAAAAAGAATTTCCAATCTCGTTTTATCAGTGAAATAATATTTAAAAATAAATAAAATATAGTCGTGTATAAACATACAGGTATTCTAGATACAACTATTTGTTGCGTTTTCTATCAGAAGTTCCAAATCTCTTCTAACAGCGGTATCGTGTCACTATAAAAATGGTAAACTGAATGTTTAAAATTATCAACTTTAAAAAAAAGGAAAATCAACTTAAGTTATGAATAAACTTTTAACCGATTAGCTTCTTGTATTTCGTTCGGGACTTTATAACTTTACATAGATCATTAAAAACTTAAAAACATCAACTTGATCCCTAAAAGATGGAAACATTTAAAGTAAAGTGTGTAATGAACACAAAACACCATCCTACATACATACTTGTTCTCCTCAGATGCTGTTACAAATACATTATAATAAAGACAAAAACATTATACATAAAAGAAAAATACTTACTATCCTGGATTTGCTTTAAAAACTTTTAATAAGAGTTACAGTCTTATTATAATTTGCTACGTGAAATAACTAATCATATACATGTGATCATGTAACAAAGGTATAGTCTACAAAGGTCAAAATCCTTTTCTTTTTTTTTTTTTTTACCGAGGTGAACTGACCTTAACATGTCATCGACCTGGGCGAGAGGCCGACTAAACCCGGGCTCTCCCACTGCAAGGGACGGCGGTCCAGTGCAGTGGGCCTACCGTGCAAAACCCCCCGTACTACCCTCTCGCGTGGACCGGCACCTGGTATCTTAAAACGTAAGTCCCAAGTGAACAAAGGTCAAAATCCTGGGTCCAATTTTCAACATCACGGATCAATAACAAATTCGATGATAGTCAATCATCATTGATTACCCCACCTTTTATACCTACATTAAATCATAATTGAATTTTCTCTTTATGTTAAATCCATAGTTTTAGAAAAAAAAACAATATTGAAATATTACTTTTCCTAGAATAACAATATTACCATCAACTCTTCATATTTATTTATATTTCTTTTTGAAAATGACTATTGCGTCGAGCAATAACCAAACGCAATGCAGCCGATATTTTTTTGTGGCTAACGAATATTTTAGTGTAGCTGCTTAACAGACTACGGTCAGTTGCACAAACGTCCATTAAGGTTTAATACGCCTTTAACCCCTAATGGATATCAAGTTTGTATGGGTAATGTCGCTTTAAACGTGAGAAAATTTTAATGGACATTTGTGCAACTACCTGTAGAAGTATATGTAGCTAAAAAGTGCTTCAGCTACTTAACACTTTTAATTTAAGGTGTACTTATAATTAAACACAATAAAATATCTATAAAATTATACGTTTATTTTTATTTGTCACGTGTTTATTTGCAATGTTTTTAAATAATAACTTTATAAATAATCGACATTATCCTTTATTTGGTACTTTACCTCGGTAACAATCCGATCACTTTAGTCAAGGGGCTATCCGGGCGAAAAGCAACATAAAACGAACGTATGTAGCTAGTTACAAATATCTAATAAATATTAGAAACAAGCATGCAACTGTGGTTAACATTTGAAGATTTCCAGATTCGCACATAAGCCACTTGTGAATAGTAGGCAATGGGACGAATTAATGCAAATTTCTGTCGCTAGATTGTAGCACTAGCACATTTATATAAACGTCAACATACGTCTTTCAAAAAGTAATAAGCAAAGAGTCAATAAATAAAGAGCATAGTATGAATTTATATTTATTGTATTAAATAGAAAAATTGTAATTTAAACCAATAGGTTCTTCTTGATGTATATTCTTATAAGAAGGAAGAGAATATTTTTTTCCAAAAGACGTAATATTCTAGACAAAATTCTTTGTTTACTAAACAGTGCTTGTGCTGCCATCTACATCAAGCGACAGGGTATGTGTGGCTAAATTCTAAAACTATTTAAAGAAACGTAAGTTAAATACTTACGCCTTGTCATCTGAAGCTGAATCCGATATGCTTTTATTAAACCACGCTGTGTTCCTAGCATCGTAAACCAAAGCTTGCATCAAACCATGATCACCTGAAAATAATTTTCATATTGAATCACATATTAAGAGGGCGCTCACACCGAAATCAGAAACTTTTAGTTATTTTAATTTTTTTTTTACAAATTAATAACGTCCAAATAAGCTGTTATTTTAAAATGACTAAATTATATCTGTAAGGGGAATTAATATCTTAACCAAGAATGGAATTGGAATTAAAAAAATGGAATTAAAATTTCTTGATAGACAAAAATCACTTTTCGTAATAGTTTTTTTAAGGGAAAATTTATTAATATGTGAATTAATATAAAAAGTTTAGCTGAGGGAATTATGCAACGCTATCACAATAATCATAATTTGAGAGAAAATTGATGAAAATTTTCAAAACTTCATTTTCGAACTAACTGTTGGGTCGACTAGTTTATCAATAAAAAGATAAAAACTGTAAAATATATATAAACCGTTAATTCTACTGGAAAAGATTTAAAAATTATATACTTACAATAATATTCATTTCTAGGAGTGCTATTCGATACTTTATTCCGTTCCTTGGCATCTGGAGTTCCTGTTATATAAAAGAAATAATTATTTAAATTTCAGATAAATAAGGAATTCAATGGTGCCGTCGTCAGTGCATTCGGTATGCTATAAAAACTTAAAAAATAGTAGAACCGCCTTCAAACTTTCAAAAAGTAATAAATCGGGCGGAGCTTTTCTATAGGTTGTTAATTAAATTGTAGGCGCCCGACTAGAAAACTTTATTCTTTTTTGAGATAAGTTATTTTTAAAGGTTGAAGTAGGGTCTACTTTTTTAAAAAGTTTTTATTTGTTGCTTTTTTGTAATGTTGACATTTATTTATAAATGTTATTTACTCGACATCATTTTATCCAATATCTATATTGATATTTTAAAGAGGAAAGATTTGATTGTGTGTTGGCATTAGACAGGTCCCGAAACTATTACACCGATTTTTAGTCTTTCCAAGTCAATTTACACAAACCAAGTCGCGAGGAACGCTAGTTTGATAGAATTGGTTCACAATTCAAGAAGAAATCGATAAACATACCTACCCCTATACTCATTAATACCTACTATCTATTACTTTCATAAAAAATATAAATAAATCTTCC